CGATTCGAGTCTCGAAACTCCAAATGACTCGAAATAGCACTTTTAACCAAACTTTAACTCTTAAAAACTCAACTTTCCAAAAACTCAACTTTTCATCAATTTTCCTTCAAACCAACTTCGAAAATACAACAATTAGGACTCGGGGCAACTATCGGGAGGGGTAAAACGGTCATTTTATGAAAATTTCCAAAAATGACCTTTAGGGTCATTACACTTCTCTATGCTTGTTTCTTCATTGTTTTTCTCTGTGATCTTTTTGACCAATCTATTGCCTCTGTAAAGTCGAGGAAGCATATTTAGATCAGGATGAAATCTTTATATTTGCATTGAAACATTGTAAAAGAAATCTAGTATAGGTATGAATTGAGATAATTTTACTCATCATGATATGCAGATATGTAGTTGCAGAGATGAAGTCTCTGTGAGAGTGGTAAGATATCATTAAAGTGTATGGCTATCTGGCTCGGCAATATGAGTTTGACATCCCAGACGGTGAAGAGTTTAATAGAATGAATAAAATGCCAATCTACAAGAAAAATATTTATTTAGGCTGGGGATATTCATGAAAGCATAAGAAGAAAGAATATGCACCAATCATCCATTGGAATGTATACGTACGAGGAGAAAATGGAAACCACCACATCTATTTGTTAGGATATAAAAAGAACATGTCTAAGTTACACCAGTATGAACAGAACTTTTCTTTCAGAACTTCTCCTTACTTTCTGTTCTGCAATTTAACAGTCTGTTAGTATTTTTCTTTCTCTTGCTCTTCTTTCAAACTTGTTCTCGTGTTGAGGGTCTTTCGAAAACAACCTCTCTTCTCCCTCAAGGGTATAAGGTCATGTAGGTACACATATCTGTTATTGCTGTAGTTGTTCGATCTTGCCTTCGTTGTTCTTAAACTTCAGTCAACTAAAATCATGATTGCTCAGAAAAATGCAATCGATTCACATCAGAGATGAATCTAAGGCTAATAAACGAATAGACGTATCATGATGTATTATGACTATGCTAGAGGGTGAAAAATTGAGAAGCCTTCAGTTCTTGATTAATTGAGATGAATTGGCAGCTTGACTCCCTTCACATTGCTTTGTTCTTCTAGTTTCTTCAGCATAAAAAATTGCTTGTGAGCCATATATGATATATTGAATTTGACACTTCTTCACTTGGCAGTAAGCTTAGAAATCACTTTTTGTAGTCAAATAGAACCAGAATATTTCATTACTTGTCTAGAGTATCATTCATGTGCAGCTATAAATATACAGTGTGTGGTCTGTCAGTGGTGGAGCCAGGATTTTCACGAAGGGTGTCCAAGTGCTAAAGTGAACCTGCTCTTCTTAAAATGTGAAAAAACAATTGCTACTAAGTGAGATTCGAACACACGAACACTTTAAATTTGTGTGTCTTTACTTTTTCAAGGCGCTTGAAATCACTAGGCTACATCATATTGTTGTGTCAAGGGTGTCCAAACAATGTTATTTAGCCACTTTGTTAATCATTTTACTAGTATATATAGTATAATATTCCGACGAACAAGGATGGCTACGCCACTGTGGTCTGTAATTGTAACACGGGGATTGGCTTAGAGTTCTAAAATTTCTTTTTAATTGCTTTCAGTATGGAGGTTGTGATTTCCAAGTCGTACAACCGTCTGCTATGGCTTCCTTGAGATGAAGCATGACTTGCTGCAAATGGAACATACAGCTCTAATGGAATCCGAAGGTACATGAGAAAAAAATTGTTTAAGTAACTCATAAGAGAGACATTGACATTATGATCATAGGTTATAAGGAAAGATATTACTTTTTCATTGTTAGGATTTTGACAAGGCTCGGTGATCATTTGGGAAGTGAAAAGTTTTGAAGGTCTCTCTGTTCAAGTCGAAAAGTGAAAGCTGTTGAACTATGTATGTAATAGCTTGTATTGTTGACTTTGGGTCCTAGGCTCCCACGACTTTAAAATGCATCACTTGCGTCTAATGTCACTTCTTTTTATACCAACAATCAATATCTTTCTTGCGTTTTGTTTTGTCTAGGATGCTATTATGGTGTTCTTTTTAATCTGGATACCAAGGCAAAAGGTAAAAGATAACACAATTATTGGACTTTGTGTATTGAGAAATCGGAATTCCTGGACGCATATGGTTAGAGAAAACTATTAATGCTATGTAAAATGTATAAGAAACAGGGGAGATTTTGAGGAGTGAAATTTGTTGTCTCAGTTATCAGGATTTCTGAAGCATCCAATTGTTGTCTCAGTTAGATTGCTCGTTTTGTTACAAATGTAACCGTAGGTTTTTCCAAAATGATAGCAATAGCTTGAGTCCCATTTCAGCAGTCATGTGATGCTAATTTCTTCCGTTGTTTTGCATTTCCGTCTTTTCTTTTAACCTAAGCCTGGGATGATTATTAACCTTCTCATCTGGAATTTGATTAGCATAAAAAGATATGTTTTACTTCTCATGATATGCAGATATGTAGCTGTAGAGGTGAAGTCTCTGTGAGAGTGGTAAGATATCATTTAAAGCGTTTGGCAATCTGGCTCGGCAAGATCAGCTTGGCATCCCAGACAGTAAAGAGCTTAATAGAATGAAGGAAGAAAAGCTGAATGATGCAGGTATTCTTAATTTGGTATTCCAAACAGTACAAAATTGTAAAATATAAAAAAATCAATTATGAGCCATATATGATATTTTGAATTTTAAACTTCTTCACTTTCAGTATTCACTTTCTTAGTCAAATTAAACAATAGTATTTCATTATTTGTCTAGAGAAATCTTTCACGTACAGGTATATATATAGAGATGTGTGTGCTGGTCTGTAATTGCAATATGTGGATTGGCCAAGAGTTCTAAAACTTCTTTTTAATTGGTTTTAGTATGGAGGTTGTGATTTCCAAGTTGTAGAGCTGTCTACTGTGGCTTCCTTGAGATAAACATGACTTGCTGCAAGTGGAAATTGAAAGTTTTAGAAAAGTTTTGAAACATTAGCAAGGCTCAACAATGATTAGGGAAGTGAAATTTTTTTGTAAGGTCCCTTTGCTTAAGTCGAGAAAGGAAAGTTGTTGAATCTTTATGTGGTAGTTATTCTTATGTTGGATTGAACATCAGGCGTATGGACGCTTCTTATGTTGGTAAACATATTTATGATATGGTAGGTCCCTTTTAGCGCTATAATAAGCTGGGTAGAAATCTATCATTTTAAGCTATTTTATTTTTAAGTCCCCCACCTAGGGCCCCCTTTCTACATCCCTAATAAATTATCCTTACTCTCTTGCTTCAATTATTGAATTGAGAAAGTAATGAATTTGCTTCAATTTATCATTGTCTTCTTGTTGTTTCTACATCCCTAATAAATTATCATTGTCTTCTTGTTCTCACATTAATTTTCGTTAGGTTTTGATGTGTAATTAAGAGGGGTAGGTAAGTTGATTGGTGACCATTAAATTTTATGAATTACTTTTGGCACAACTTGTGTTGTCTTGGCCTCATGTCCTTTTCCACTACATCACAATAACCCAACAATCAATATATATAATAGAGCATATGATCGCAGAATTGATATACTAACTTCACTCAATTTAAGTGTTCTAGTTTATTTGAGCACAAATTTTAAGAAATAAAAAGAGATTTTCAAAATTTATAATTTTAAATTAAAAATGTATGTGTTTTTTAAAGTTTGTGATCTTAAATTTTCCATTTGTCATGAACAAACTAAAAGATATCAAAGAGGTTCTACTTTGTAGAATACACATGCATTAACTTACTAAAATCTTCTGATACATAAACGCACTAATTAAGTTCAATAGAAAAGATCACTGAACAATTATAATAAGAGATTATTTTGATTTAAAAGATAAACCTCATGGAATCTAATTAAATATAAAATAATCAAATGTCCTTGAGAAAGCTTTTTGTCCGTACTGATTAGTACACAATCAATTAAAAACTAGTAAATTACTCGCGCTTCGCGCGGGAATTTAATAGTATCATGGAATTTATAAAATAATATTGGCCAATATGTGGATTGGCCAAGAGTTCTAAAACTTCTTTTTAATTGGTTTTAGTAAGGTGGTTGTGATTTCCAAGTTGTAGAGCTGTCTACTGTGGCTTCCTTGAGATAAACATGACTTGCTGCAAAGGGAATATCAAGCTCTAATGTACCCAAAGGCCGGATGTGGACAAGACCATGGTTGTTTATGCTTCAACTCAGTTTCCTGAGTATACGCATAGCGTGATTGCTCGTTGTATTGGTAGGAGGTGTAGATAGTATTCGTTTGATAACAAGAAGGGCTGGAGGTGGCTTCGGTGGCAAGAAATATACCAATAGTACTATTAACAGAAGAAAAATTGAAAGTTTTAGAAAAAAGTTTTGAAACATTAGCAAGGCTCAACAATGATTTGGGAAGTGAAATTTTTTGTAAGGTCCCTTTGCTTAAGTCGAGAAGGGAAAGTTGTTGAATCTTTATGTGGTAGTTATTCTTATGTTGGATTGAACATTAGGACTATGGACGCTTCTTATGTGGTAGTTATTCTTATGTTGGTAAACATATTTATGATATGGTAGGTCCCTTTTAACGCTATAATGAGCTGGGTAGAAATCTATCATTTTAAGCTCTTTTATTTTTGAGTCCCCCACCTAACCCCCCTTTCTACATCCCTAATAAATTATCCATACTCTCTTGCTTCAATTATTGAATTGAGAAACTAATGAATTTGCTTCAACTTATCATTGTCTTCTTGTTGTTTGAAAAGTTTTACTATTGAAAGGAGAAAAAAATGACAGTTGCTGGTGCATTTCCTTTGAGTGAGGATGACTTAATTTGATTTTGAGGCTGTGTTAATATTGTTTCGTTGATGCCATGGTTTATTATGTATTAAAATAATATTAAATAAAATATATAATATAACTTTTTTTTACGACAAATAAAAAATATATATCATACAACTAACACATGTATTATTTTTTTCTAGAGAAAATGGTGTCAAATACTTTTTAACTTTGTGACTTGAAGTTTATATACCCCTCCTTAAAAAAAGTGGTTCACATATACCTCTATTGTTTTACAAATGACTCATGTATACCCTTTTTCCTCTAACAAAAGTGAAAAAAATCAATTTAATTTTTTTTTAAAAAAAACTTTTATATATGGATATATTTGATCCTTCTCACACATATTTTTTTGGCTTCTTTGATTCAACGGCTAATTTGGATTTATTATTTTGATGGTCAAATTTATTTTTACTAAATTTCTTGTAAAATTTATTATATATGGCCCAACTTCTTTTTACATATACAAAAAATAAATTACAACATATCCGAAAAAAATAGCTTTAAGACTTTTTCTTCTTTTTAAAAAATAAAAAATAAATAAAAAATTGTCACATTAATTTTCGTTAGGTTTTGATGTGTAATTAAGAGGGGTAGGTAAGTTGATTGGTAACCATTAAATTTTATGAATTACTTTTGGTACAACTTGTGTTGTCTTGGCCTCATGTCCTTTTCTACTACATCACAATAACTCAACAATCAATATATATAATAGAGCATATGATCGCAAAATTGATATACCAACTTCACTCAATTTAAGTGTTCTAGCTTATTTGAGCACAAATTTTAAGAAATAAAAAGAGATTTTCAAAATTTATAATTTTAAATTAAAAATGTATGTGTTTTTTAAATTTTGTGATCTTAAATTTTTCATTCGTCATGAACAAACTAAAAGATATCAAAGAGGTTCTACTTTGTAGAATACACATGCATTAACTTATTAAAATCTTCTGATGCAAAAATGCACTAATTAAGTTCAATAGAAAAGATCACTGAGGCAATTATAATAAGAGATTATTTTGATTTAAAAGATAAACCACATGGAATCTAATTAAATATAAAATAATCAAATGTCCTTGAGAAAGCTTTTTGTCCGTACTGATTAGTACACAATCAAATTATTAAAAACTACTAAAATTATCCATGCTTCGTGCGGGAATTTAATAGTGTCATGAAATTTATAAAATAATACTTAAAACCTATCAGTTATTAAAACGAAAACACTATATTATCTTACATATAAGATTACGTAGTAACAAACATTAATAATGTAAAGGAAAATAAAAATTATTACATCTTATCATTTATCCTTAATAACATAAGCATAAATTAATGACTGTAAAAATACATATCAGGATCTGTAACATAAGCAATGGTGTCAGTGAGCCACTCAACAGAAGCAAAGTAACCAAATATTTAATTGTGAAGAAGAAGAAGAGATTCATAATTTTACTTGTTTTAAAATGAGAGGAAATTCCTCTATTTATAGACAACAAAGGATAGTGTGAACAAATGTTTATTGTGCTTTATCAGAAAAGTTACAACTATTTGGAAAAGTTGCAACCCTTCGGAAAGGTCACAAACCTTTCATAAAAGTCGGAACTTTTCATAAAAGTCGCAACCCTTCATTAAAGTCGCAACTTTTCATAAAAGTCGCAACTCTTCATTAAAGTCGCAACTTTTCATAAAAATCGCAACTTTTCATAAATGTCACAACTTTTCATGAAAGGGGAAGGCTAGTTAAAGTCAAAACTTTTCATAAAAGTCACTATTTTTCATAAATGTCACAACTTTTCATAAAAGGGGAAGGGTAGTTTTGGAAATAAATAAATTAAAAGAGAATTTTGGTTTGTGGTAACGCCACGTAGGCGGGCCAAAGGTTCTATTTTATAAATAAAAAGAGAATTCTGGTTTGTGGTGGCGCCCCGTAGGCGGGCCAAAGGTTCTCTTTTATAAATATATAAGATTACTCATGTAAAAGAATTGAAAATTGTTAGAAAGACATGGTGCATACCTTATTTGAATTGACGCAATTTAAATTAAAGTTCTATTCAACTGTCTACAAAAGCATCACGTCTTGTTTACTCCTGAAATTAAAAAATCACCTTATAAGTTGTTAAAATAAAATTTTAGTAGTAGATCAAACACTTAAATATCAGTTAAAGAATATGATTTCTATGATAAGCAAAAAATCAAGAAACTAAATAAAAAGAGCTTTGACCTTCAAGGGGGTCAAAACTTGTGAAGAAGAGTCCCTATTACATTGCAACATCAATTTGACATCAAAGTCCTACATTTCTTAGTATCAATTTGCATTAAGCAGAGTGTATAAACGAAGGACAAAAAATTCAATCAACATTTCTAAAAAGAGTATTCATGCTTTTTATTAAGAAGCTGTTGGTAGACTTGAGAGAAACCTTGTTGGAGTATTCTTCCTGAAGATGTTTTCTTTGTTAATTGCGGTAAATTTCCTTTTGTGCTAATAACCGACACTTTATTGAGGGACCTTATGACAACAAATAATGACGATAATGAAATCATTTTTCTTTTCATCACATTTATTTTGTTATTATTATACTAAAAATATTTAAAAAATTATTCATATCTTACATCCGATCCGTCAATCCATAATTATAATTTTTTTTTTTGAAAAGGGAGTAATTTTTCTTTGTAATTATTGCAGACAAAAATAGTAAAAGAAAAGAAGAAAAACATATAAAAGATTGTGTAACAACTCCAATTTCACAATAGAAACATTCAAATATTATAATCTTTAAACTCGAAGTTACAACGGAAAACGGAACTAACAAAGAAAACTATTGTAGAAGATAATTAGAAGGGAGATGAGAAGACTACACATTTTTCTCAACAATTTGCATAATCCCAAAATCACATATCACTACCCTTTTTGATGGAACTGTTTCATGCCCACTTCTCAACCCGTATTCCAAATTAACCTAGCCCTATTGCTCGTTCTTGGCCCAATAACAACTTGTATGACATAAGTATCTACATTGGGATGGACTTGGTTCATAACAAATTGAGATTTGAGGAAAAACAATTTATTTGTTTTATCATGTCAAATTATTTTTTTAAAGGTAAATTTGGTTGAGTGATTTTATAAAAGGAAAAACTCAAAGTTAAAGTGATTTTTTTGATACAAAACAAACTTGAATGACTTTACAAGATAATTCCTTAAAGCTAGATGACCTTTTGAGATATTTACACTCCTGAACAGTGGCGTAGCCACATGGTAATCAGGATTGGACACCCTTGGTCGGAAAAAAAAATACCGTATATACAAGTAAAATGCATTTCGAAATGATTAAATAACATATTTTGGACGCCCTTAACATAACAAGTTGTTATAGCCTAGTGTTTCACCTCCTTGGAATGAGGAAGTGCTCGTGTGTC